CTCTTTCTATCACAATAATGGCCCTTCTTGACAGGTCCATTCAGTACCTGAAATCAATCCAGCAGATGAAAATGTTCATTTACAGCCCCACCGACTCATTGCCAGACCAAAGTCATTACTCAGCAAAACGGTGTGAAATTGATCACACACCCTTCTTCCTTCTCCCTTGAATGCTCATCTTTTAGTTTCTCACGGAGGGGGGAGGGAGAACTCAACTAGTGTGCTGATGTGCAACAATTTGTCACAATAAATCAGGAGGTTGTGGGACTTTTTTTTTTTTTTTAAAGAAAAAGTTCAAAGGGTTTCTAAACACGGGCTCAGACTACCAATTTTGGCTTTGGGGAGTGCAGGTGTGCACCTGGCCCGGGGCCGTCATTGGTGCTGATAGGTGATATAACCAGGTATTAGTGAGCAACTTGTCTGCTCCACCGCTTGTGTTTCTTCTCACTTTCGGGAAGTAGGTTCATCGCAAATGCTGCGCGTGCTGCGAATTTTGTTGAGTTAAAACTCAACTTGATTTTTTTCAACCATTTTGAATCTGCATTTTCTGTACCTTTTTAATTATATATTTTAAAAAGACAGTTATTAAAAAACATTATTTGACGTGGTTGTTAACACTCTCTTGTGTCAAATTCACAAGACAGTCTGTATTTTTTTGTGATTTTTTTTTTTTACGAAGATACAATAGCACGTTTTTTTTCATGGAGGGGACTCACTCAAGATACAAATGGGTTCACGCCAAATCGCGATCGATTTTTGTGTCATACGGCTGAAACAAACAAAGCCAACTGGCAAAGGGAAGAAACGATGCTTTTAAAAAGACAAAATAATAACACCCACGCATTTGAGTGTCTGTATCTGGTCATCTGATTCCCTCACAAGCTTCTGACCAGACAGTTCCTATTGCTGAAGTTACGCTGAATTGCGCTTACATAATAGTGTATTTACAGCAGCCTTGGTTCTTAGCAAGTATCGAGCCAAGTCTCTACCCTTTGGTCCCAAGATATTGAGCTAATGCTCCCAGTGACACCTGTGAGAACATTTCGGGGCCTCGGTATTGCTCCAAAATTCCAAAGACCCCCTCTTTCCTTGTGACAGGTTTTCTCTCTGCCAAGGAACTGCACTCCGCATGAACATCAAGGGGCTAAGCAAACTGCCCTGGGGCGCTCCTCTGTTGAGTGGAGGAGGTGTGAGTTGTCTGCAGTCTTGTTTGTGAAGTTTTTCATTCGGTTCTGTGTGTTCTGTGTCTTAAAATAACATAAAGAGGAGTTGCTCATCACAGCAGTTTGCAACTGTAAGATCCTAAACCGCACATGTGGTTTGAATGCCACTCGAGTGTGTTTGTAGTCCAAGTATGCAGCTTGAAGAAGTCTCGTCCAAGGAATAAAAAAATCCAACTTTAGTTAGGGAAAAAAAAAAGCATCCAGCTGGCCCATGTGTCACTTTGCTTGTGGCAGACTGCAGTGTATGTGAAAATCGATGAGAAGCTTTTACACATAAACGTTTTAAAAAATTAAAAGTGAGGATGTTCATGAGGTTGAAATGTCAGTTTTCTTTTCATTTCCAGATCCAGATACATATCTCAAGAAATTGGTTGAGCTACATTTTTTGAGGGGGTTTTGGGCACCTAGAGTAGACCTTTAGGCAGGTACCATGATAGTTTCCCCAAGTAAGACTTTGGCCCGGTATGTTCTACCCGTCACATCACAATACCATTAATGGACATAAAATCCAAAAGAATGTAGCGACAACTGTTACTCGAGTCCAACCACTCCCCCACTGACTCCCTGACAGAAGAACTAGCGTCGAGCGCCGCCAAGAGCTGCTGGCATGACTGTCTGCATTCTGATTATCACCCGACGGTGACCCATTTGTTTTCTGTTCCGATCCTGCCAGCCCCGCTTTGGTTGGCTTTGTCATAGAAAAACAACAAGGATGTGGAGTGGCGGCGGCACAGACAAATGTTGTATTAGCCAATGCTTGACTCTCACGTGTCAAAAATGACGGTGAAAGACGCAGACACGGGCCTCACTGTCTGCTCCACCTGCGGCGCTCCGCTCAAATCGACGACGTCCGTCACTAAGCGGCAATATGAAGTGATGGGGGCCGACTGAGTGATGAACTTCAGATTTATCTCTCTTTCTATCACAATAATGGCCCTTCTTGACAGGTCCATTCAGTACCTGAAATCAATCCAGCAGATGAAAATGTTCATTTACAGCCCCACCGACTCATTGCCAGACCAAAGTCATTACTCAGCAAAACGGTGTGAAATTGATCACACACCCTTCTTCCTTCTCCCTTGAATGCTCATCTTTTAGTTTCTCACGGAGGGGGGAGGGAGAACTCAACTAGTGTGCTGATGTGCAACAATTTGTCACAATAAATCAGGAGGTTGTGGGACTTTTTTTTTTTTTTTAAAGAAAAAGTTCAAAGGGTTTCTAAACACGGGCTCAGACTACCAATTTTGGCTTTGGGGAGTGCAGGTGTGCACCTGGCCCGGGGCCGTCATTGGTGCTGATAGGTGATATAACCAGGTATTAGTGAGCAACTTGTCTGCTCCACCGCTTGTGTTTCTTCTCACTTTCGGGAAGTAGGTTCATCGCAAATGCTGCGCGTGCTGCGAATTTTGTTGAGTTAAAACTCAACTTGATTTTTTTCAACCATTTTGAATCTGCATTTTCTGTACCTTTTTAATTATATATTTTAAAAAGACAGTTATTAAAAAACATTATTTGACGTGGTTGTTAACACTCTCTTGTGTCAAATTCACAAGACAGTCTGTATTTTTTTGTGATTTTTTTTTTTTACGAAGATACAATAGCACGTTTTTTTTCATGGAGGGGACTCACTCAAGATACAAATGGGTTCACGCCAAATCGCGATCGATTTTTGTGTCATACGGCTGAAACAAACAAAGCCAACTGGCAAAGGGAAGAAACGATGCTTTTAAAAAGACAAAATAATAACACCCACGCATTTGAGTGTCTGTATCTGGTCATCTGATTCCCTCACAAGCTTCTGACCAGACAGTTCCTATTGCTGAAGTTACGCTGAATTGCGCTTACATAATAGTGTATTTACAGCAGCCTTGGCAGAACACACATCACACACACACACACACACACACACACAGTGTGTGTTATTTGCTTGGCATGAAAACAGAATGCAGGCTGCTGCCTGGATGCCTGGACAGCCCGGTGACCTCCCTTGAACGTGATGACCCCTCAGCCCTCCCACCCCATTGGACTGTCCCGGCAGCTGCAAAAGAAGGAAACCCACAGTGGTAGATTTCAAGCTCGGATATCACATTTTGCCACAAAAGACAATTATTCAACATTTTTGGGGGGCGCCATGATCAAATCTTTAAACGTTTTAGACGGAGTCAGTCGAGCAGACCCCCCCCACCCCCCTTCCCCCGCTTGTTGTTACTCATTGGGCATCAGATGGTAATGGATAGCCGCTGTAGCTCTATGGGGGTCAGTGTTCCCTGGCAGGCAGCGTCTTTGGGGACTCAGGTAATGTTGCCTTGATAGCGACATTGTCGGCCATTGATACTACACACCTGGGAGGGGTCACGTGAAAGGGGAGTCTGGTATGAGATGGGGGGAAAAAAAACTGTCCCACGTTGATAGAAGTGGGACACCCAGAAGCACGGAAAAGGATGAGGTGCAGAGATTCCTTAAAGGTCGTGCATGATCCGTTCCATTGTGCTTGTCGCCATATGTATGCAGTATAGTGTATCAACTTGCTAAATAACATACTTTTATTGTCCTAACAATTATTGTCCTGACATCCAGAAAAAATTAGCAGCTGGGAGGGGTATCGTGGGGACTAAAATATATGAAAGGTAAGGATATTGTCAAAAGGAATAAAGATTGACGGCTAATTGAATAAAACATCGGGAAAGCGAAAAGATGACGTCATGATGTTTCAGCGTGTGTTTGGAGAAGCGTCACAGTGCGAATGGGCCTCGTCCGTTTGCCTGTGGGGTCGCGGCCGAGATCTTCCCATTGTTCCCGTCACTGTGCTAAAGAGAGGCGTGTGCGTGTGTGCTCACCAACCCCCCTCTGCAAACCTTTCTCTTTCACACCCTCTCAGCTGTGTTCAGTTCTCAGTGTGGAGCGCCGCCGTCCTCAAGTTAAGGATTCCCTTGAAAGACTTTTGACTTTTTACTAACCCTCACCCGATTATCCGGGACTGGAGTTGAAGGCATGGCAGCGGTGCACCCGACCGTGCATAGTTTGCCTTTGTATGGAATGTCTCAGTTACTGTCTTCGTCATCAGGTAAAGTTGGTTGCTTCAGATCATGTCAGTGGTGCATTGTGTTGGCTTGATGTCCATGTGAATCAATAGTAGTTCCTGTTTGACTTCATGTTGAACTTGCGAGAGAGCTCCACGTCTCCATGTTGGGATGTTTTGTGGTGACGTAAAATTAATGTACAGGTGCATCTCAGGCAATCGCAATGTGGTTGAAAAGTCATTTATTTCCGATGATCACTTTAAAAACTAAAGCTCATAATTACGCACATTTATTCAAAACCTAGGAAAATACTTGCCAGGCCTAATTTCTGTAATACAAAAAGCCCGACTAGATGTCAAGTCGGATTTATATATTGTGGTTGTCAAAGTCATCCGCTACTTTTATTTTATTTTTTTTAAACTAAACTAAAAACCAAGTCCAGTTAGGTGCAGTTTTCAAACAGCTGAACATTCCACATTTTTTGCTCGGCTCGTCATCTCCGAGTAACAGATGAACACACGGCATCCAACTGGAGCCGCTACAATCACATCATTGTTAGCATTAAAGCTAGCTAGCCTGTCCTGTTGTGTCCCATCATTTCATTTTTAAAAAATTCATTTTGGGGGCACAAATGACTGCGCCCCATTAATTCTGCTACGTGTAAGGCAGATGTTCAGGTTGGACATTGATCTTGACAAGGGAGCTTTTGCTGCCTGTGCCAGTCTCAGCATATGTATTCCATTGTTTTTGACAACAGGGGGAGACAGAGAGCGGATGACAACCAACCATGAGACCTACCTCCTTATGGCCAGCACCCAGAATGACATGGAGGATTGGGTGAAGACCATCCGAAGGGTCATATGGGCGCCTTTTGGTGGAGGTTAGTATACAGATACCCAGTCATGCTGTCATAAAGGCCAGAGGTTGGAAACCCTTGCTCTAAACAACCAAGGAGTGACAGGAAGAAAAATTGTGCCTTGATCCAGATCCACATCAAATGTCATCTGCGATTCCAGTTCTGATAAATGATACATATGGACTATAATTTCAATGCATGTATTATAATAACTGAAATTAATAATTAGAATTTTTTAATGCAGTTAGTAAGTTTGGTAGTTTTCATTAGTCCTTAGTTTTCGAGAAATGCTGAGTTTTAGGTCAATTTTTATTAGTTTTAGTATTAGATTTAGTTTTTTGAGGGGGGCTTGGTAATATATGGAGCATTTGTCGACTGCAAGATAAAAACGGTCTTCTGCAAAAAAAAAAAGAAAAAAGGAAAATCAATTAAAATGCAATTCATGTGAACAGGGGTGTGTAGACTTTTGATATCCACTGTACTGTAGGTTCCCCTGCATTGGATGGATGAGTGCAAGCGTAACTAATGTCGGGGTTTTTACTAATGGCCTGCTCATGGGGTGCTTGTTGCGGGGCACACGTGCCACATGCGTAGGCGGACCACCGTGAACACCGGAGGCCGCATTGGGCCCTCAGTTTGGACTTTGATGTCCATCGCAGTTGACTGCTCCTGAAAGGGAATGAGCCATTTGTCAAAGATGCCACTCGAAACATGGCCTTCCTCTGCCCCCCCCCCCACACACACACACACACACACATTTACACGCACGTTCTTTGACATTGTGCTGCAGCAGCAGATTGAGGCCCGATTGGCTGCTCCGGGGCCTCGCAGTGCGATTTGGAGCGACTGATAAACGGGGGTTGGCTGTCATGTCGTGTTGGGTCGTGGACCAGCTCGTGGTCTGAATTTAGACTTTCTGGGATGTGCTGCCGTGGCCTCTCCTTGTGGATCCTTCCAGATTTACTGCACGGTAATTAGCGGTCGGCTTGTCCTTTGGGAACGTTTGCATGTTAACTTTGAACGTTGGGCCGAGTGGTGTTTTGGGGATTTGGCCTTCAAATTAAAACACAGCAATGCTTCATACTGTAACTTTTAAGCTAGCCTGTGCTGTACTAGTGGCTCAGGGAGGTGTTTATTTACTCAACTACAGATGGGGAAGGCCTTAATTTTAATTCAAAGGACAGTAATGCAAAAGTGGAGAAAAAAAAAAGCAAGAAAAGAGCCAGACTGGGCGGAACAAACAAGACATTGTGAGAGTAGCCACATTTCAAAGTTTACTCGGTTCACAGAATGTCAGATCATCTTGAATGCTGCACAGGGAAGCTGTTTACAGCATGTGGTAAAACTCTGCACTTTATCTGACAGACTGTTTATTTTCCTTGGTAGGGCCTACTGTTTTGGTTCACAACTGCGTTGAGATGGGCTTGGCAGATGGTGAACCTGGTCTTTTGTCATTTTTACATGCCGGGCAATTTTGTCGTGGCAGACTGGAGAGAACTAACATCGTGTATCGTAAAAGTAGACGAGCTTTTTTTATTAAAGTACATGGGAAGGATCTTGGAAAAATAATCGCTTATTAAATTCTTTGCATCTTTCCATGGGAAATGTAACCAAGTTTGTGCTTCTACTTTGACACCATGTTGAAAAAAGTTCAGTCCCAAAATCCACTTCCTGCATGTTATCTCATCCGTTTTGCTTAGCGACCCACTTCAAACAGGGTGAGCAGTAGGTGATCTTGAAATGAAATTTCAGACGTTTGTGTCAGAAATATGTATGAATCATACATTTGTACGGGGTTCTCACATTCACCCGGGCACACATGTGACTTGGGGGAAATCTTTCGAGCCTCATGACTAGGCTGACCTCCTTTTTCTTTTCTGCTCAAAACATTCCTCATCATTCAGTCGGCTGAACCAAGACTCCTCGTCAAATCTGAAAGGATCGATAGCTTCAAGTGTTGGGATTTTATTTTTTGGGGGGGTGAAACTGTTTGCCTTTCATGGATTTAGTTTCGAAACAATTTTCGGAGGTAAAATGGTGGAATGCAGGCACTTGAATTCAAGAGGCTCCGGTGTGTTGTCTTTCTGTAAATTCCTCAACAAGCGCGTCCTACTTGAGTTGATGAAGTGTGTCAGCTTCAAAAGGGGTGAGTACAACAAAAAGACATTGTGTGAGATGTCAGCCGCGTTACCAACATTCAGTGCTGCTTTTGTCTCAAATGAGCCAAGTGAGACAATTTGATCGGATATATGACAGCACCCTGTACTGTCTGTGTCTAAATGTGGAAATATGCTTTTTTACACTTTTTAAATATTTTTAGAACAAATTTGTGACTGTAATAGTGAATTTGAATCAGGCGTTTTGGAGCACCCCTGACTGAGCGGCAGTTTTACAACCCTCTAGCCATGCTATCTATTAGCATGTCAATGGGATTTTTCATTATATGTCAGCATTAAGCTAGCAGTAGCTGTTCTGAAGGCAACGTAATTTGGTTGTCTTAACGTGTCAGGGTAAAATTCTTTTTGTTTTAACTTTGTACAATTTTAGTTAACACGTGAGCTTAGTAGTAATTTTTTTAGTATTCATTTTTATTGATTCATTTTCTGCATTTCCGCGATTGACTGGCAAGCAGTTCGGGGTGCACTCCTCCTACTGCTCAAAGTCAGCTGGCAGAGGCACGCCCGCGACCCTCATGAGAATAAACGGTTCGGATAATGGTGGATGGATGGATCTTATGCATCTGTGTATGATTCTTTTAACTTTTTTTTTATTTTTATTTTTTTAACTATGTTTCATCTTTCTCGCATTACATTGCAGGGATCTTTGGCCAGAAACTGGAGGAAACAGTGCGGTACGAGCGTCGCTACGGGAACAAGATGGCGCCCATGCTGGTGGAGCAGTGCGCCGACTTCATCAGGCAGCGGGGGCTTCGCGAGGAGGGTCTCTTCAGACTTCCCGGGCAAGCCAACCTAGTCAAAGAGCTGCAGGAGGCCTTTGACTGCGGAGAGAAGCCCCTATTCGATTGGTGGGCTTCTTTTGTCATGTGACCAACAGTCAACACCTCCCCCTTATCTCAACAACCTCTCTTTCTGGTTCTGGCCTACTATGGCTAGAACCAGAAATAGAACAAGTCCCTTTGACGTTCTGTATATAACATATTTTGTAAAAAAACGACACTGCATTGACGAGACCAAGTGACCCTCCCCTCCTCCCTCCATCCTTCTTGTCTTTTTACAGTAACACAGACGTGCACACGGTCGCATCGCTGCTCAAGCTTTATCTCCGAGAACTTCCCGAGCCCGTCATCCCCTTCCACAAGTACGATGACTTCCTGGCTTGCACCAAGCTACTCGGCGTGGAGGACGACACGGTGAGACAGACGACCTTGTAGGGGTGATTTGGGGGTCACGCCTGGCGACATGAGGAAGTTGTGCTTTCTGTGATTGGCAGGGTATGAAAGAGCTGAAAAAGCTTGTGGATGGTTTACCTCCGGTCAACTACAATCTTCTCAAGTACATCTGCAGGTACCCGCTATGATTGGAGTAGTTTATGAATGATTTTTTTGGTGTGTCTCTAAGTTTGCATTTACTTGGCAGATTTCTTGATGAAGTCCAGTCATATTCCGGAGTCAATAAAATGAGTGTTCAGAACTTGGCCACGGTGTTCGGGCCAAACATCCTCTGGCCAAAAGTCAAGGATCCGGTTGCCATCATGGAAGGTTTGTAGTGAAAGTTCTCCGGAAGTGTCTTCGACAAAACAGTTGATTGTTGTTGTGTCGACAGGAACCGTCCTGGTCCAGCAGCTGATGGCTGTTTTGATCGGCCGGCACAACGCGCTCTTCCCTCAGGACGAGGATAGTGGTCCCCCCGGTCCGGCGGAGCTCGTCAACAACAACGTAGAGTTGCCGAGGCGACCCGCGGCGCCGACGACGGTACCTCAGAACGTCGAGAACAATAACGTGCAGGCGCCACACCAGTGCGTCTGGGAGGCGGTCGACTCTCCTTGCCGGCACGAGGACGACCGAGGCTCCCCACGCTCCGCCAGCCCTCGGAACATTCCGGGATGCTTCGACAACACTCGGAGCCCGCCGCTCACCGTTAAAAAGAACCCCGCATTTAGTAAAGGAAGCGGGATCGTCACCAATGGATCCTTCAGCTCCTCGCCGCCCTCCTCTGATCCAAACATGGACAAGTGTCAGACACTGATGAGCGGCGGAAGCTTACCGGGGCGCCGCAACGGGACGCTAAAAGGCTCGGGCACAAAAATGGGCACCGGCGGCGTTACGGGAGGGGGCAATGCCAATGGGGTTCTTCGCATGGGAGTCTCCGGCCCCGATGCGATGTCGGCGGTCCTGAACGGCCAGGGCGGTCTTTGGTTACCGAACGGATGCGTCACGCTACGGGAGGCAAACAAAGTTTCGCGTGACTTTCCCAATGGGGATCAAACGTGTAACCAAAACCGTCTGTCCACGTATGACAATGTGCACCTAAACCATCAGAACCTGCACCAGCACAACCACGTGGTGCACGTGGCGTGTCTCAGCGGCGGCTGCGAGGACAAGCAGAGTGTGGACAGCGCCACCTGGTCCACATCCTCCTGCGAGATCTCCCTGCCGGATAACTCCACGTCCTGCCGCTCCTCCACCACCACCTGCCCCGAGCAAGACTTCTACGTCGGCCATTATCAGGACGTGGACGGCCTCAACCAGGACAACGGCGGTGGAGAGTCGGGCGGCGACGAGGGCAGACACACCAGCAGGGAGGCGGCGGCGGGAGGGGACGCTGCGGCGAGGAATGGCAGCGAGCACGGTAGCAAGTACGGTGGAGGAGGAGGAGGAGGACACAGCGCGCTGCACAGTCTGGTGGCCAGTCTCAAGCAGGAGATGCTCAAGCAGAAGTCTGACTATGAGGCCAGGATAAAGAGGTAAGAAAACAAAAAAATATTTCGAAATATTTTCTTTTAACCCTTTCAGGGACCGCCCTCTTTCTTCTATTCCAAATTTGGATTTTTTTTTGTTTGTTTTTTTGGCTCTTCTCCACTTTAATCAAACAATGTATTGTAAACCTCAGACAACAACAACCTAACTTAACATAAAATGCTACTTGGCACCTGAAGACAAGTCCCTTAATCTTCTTTGGCACACACACGAGGATTCCGAGGGACCAAAAGTACTGGTCGTCACCCGTTTATAGAACAGCGGTTACAACCATAATTTGGGTTTGATCTCTGTCCTCCTGACCGCCAGAGGCGGTGCTTCAAGTACTGGATGAGGCAGAACGATAAAGTCACAAGGAATCCATGGACCACCACAGAGACCCGCCGCAGGATTAACAATGATGGCATAAAACCCAGTCAAGTGGATGGGAAACCGCCAGATTCACCCCGTAAAATCGACCCAACTTAGCGGGCACTGTCCAAAAGGCAACTGCACAAGTATTAGTCAGCCCAGGAGGTTAAGAGGCTCGAGGTAGTGAAGAAGACAGTGGCCTGCCTTGGGAGACCGACTGTATGTCAACGACACGACCTCCGTCCCATGCTCACCTCCCTCTGCCCTTTTTGCAGCCTGGAGCAGCGCAACCTGGACCTGGAGTCAGAGATGGTGAGCCTGCACGAAGAGCTGGACCAGGAGCGTAAGAAGTACACCATGGCCGAGATCAAACTGCGAAACGCCGAGCGCGCCAAGGAGGACGCTGAGCGCCGCAATCACATGCTGCAAAAGGAGATGGAGCAGTTCTTCTCCACTTTTAGCGACCTCACCGCCACCGGTGGCAGCTCCGCCTCCGTCGCCACTGTTGACCCCCGCCGGCCTGATCGCAGCAACCCAATATGGATAAAGTGAAGGTGGGCGGGTTGAACACCCGGAAAGACGACAGAGTTTCTTGTGGCGGCTCCTAGCGGGATTTGGCTGTCGGAAACTCGGCGGGAAACTTCATGGGGTCTTCACTTCTGCGAGCATATCACAAAAAAATGGAATCTGAGCAAAAAAGAGTTGAATAAGATGTCAACTGAGATTTTAGAAGAAGCTAATGGGGCAGGACAGGTGCTAGCTGTGATCGCAATCATAAACCCTCCATGCTGTCTTCACTTCCGCTAGTATGTGTGGCTGAAAAAAAAATGGAAATAAATCCAAACTAGCTTGAGATTTTGGATAGAAGATGCTTCCAGGGGGAGAAAAGGTGTTGACCATGTTTTCTAACGCTCTTCTTAGCAACATGGTGAATCACATGCTACCCCGACCTAGCAGCTACAACTAGCATTGGCACAAAATAAGGGCAGAGCGAAGCTTTTTTTTTTTTTTTTCTTTCAGTCTTAGAATTGATTTTGGCATTAGCGTTGCGAGTTCGTTTGTCGGCAACTTACATCTACGGACTGAAAGGGGAACTAAACGCAATATGTCAAAACTGTCTGATAATGTGATATAGTCTTCATCTGGTGCTGTTGACTTCAATCCACTAAGTATTGACAGCTGGCAGACGACTTTTCAAAGGCAGTTTAATAGGCGGAAAATGAATCTGCACACTTGTCTGAAACAGTTTCTGTTTGTGTTTGCAACTTCTGCCTTCATTAGCCTCAGATAGCATCCTATCTGCCTCTTTTAGCAACTCTTCTGCACAAGCTCAGACGTGGCGGTGAAAAGTTTTAATAACTAGGACATAATGTAAATGATGGCGTCGCCTGGGGTGACGTCTGGGTGAGACTTTGTGTAAATAGAGCACTATTTAAATCCTCTCAAAGTCTATGTGTCACGTTGGGTACAAAACCATTGGTCCTCGCTCTTTGTTGTCCGTTCTGTACATAAAGAAGGAGGGAACGCGCGTCTTTTGTATAAAAAGAAATCAATGCCTAAATGTGCTATTTAAATATTCATACATTTTCACACTGTAAACGTGCTTGCACTTCCTCGTTCTTGTTGGGTTCATGACCAAAAAAAAAACAAAACAAAACAAAAAAAAAAAAAAACAGCGAGTGTGTAGCAAGATGTGCGTGAGGGAATGTCTATGATGGACTTGTTCTCATCATGTGTTGAACCAAATAAACTGTACGGTACGAGACAGTCGTTTTAAACCTGCTGCTGGTCATTGCAGGTGCACTAGATGTGTCCCGATGCTAGGTGGCTACATGTTAGCATCGCTATATATATATATTGTACATACCATCATTTCCCTCCCACCTAAGAGGATAACCACCTCACTCAAACAGCCCTGTTTGAACCATGTTGGTAACCAAAAATGCAAACGAGGCATGTAACACTTTGTCTTTGTGCATCTCCCTCACCAGAAGATTTTTTTCTTAATGGTGAGAGGTAAAGGACTGGGACTTCTGTGGAATAATCCACACACAGCATACTTGATTCTTAAAGAAGTGATTATACAAATGATAACTATGAATAAAAATGCATTCAAAAAATAGAAATTGTTATTTTCAACACCTTTTTTCAAAGTGACCTGGTTGCAATATATTCAACTTAAAAAAAAAAGAGGTTAAAATGTTAAGCAAATGTCCACAGAGAAGACCACACATTTCTCAAAGGTTTTGTTTATTTTCAGTCACATACATTACGTACTATTGTTTTGTTTTTACATACACAGTTCCTTTAAAATGTGTTTGGAGTAACAGCTCTCATTTTTTTCCTCTCATTTTTTTCACCTTTTGCAATAGTTTCACACTTTTATTTGCCTGAAGCTTTTGAGATCATCAGCAGGAAACACTTGTGTTTAATTCACTGTCAACCCAACAAAATGCTGAATGAAAACATTCCAAAATGAAAGGCGGAAAAATGGGAGAGTAGGAGTTGATTCAGATGACCTGTACATTGTATTTCGTCAACTTTGAAGTATGACGCTAGCATCGGTGTCCTTGGGTCTGCTTTTATTGCGTTCTTCGATTGTTGTTATTTACAATATGACAACAAAAGCGTGTGACCAGAAAATGCTTTCACGTGACAAATAAATTAATGGAAACATCCCTCGTGATGAAAATGAGGATTTGCTGTGATTCCCCAAAGAAAATCAACACAGGATTTTTCGACAGTTAAGATTTCAGTTCTGATTGTGTTGACTTGCTGGTTTATGTCAATCAAATGTGCTCGAGCGCACACTCACACACACACTACAACCATACAGCAATGACAAATGATTTTCTTCTACTTTTACATTCAGTGCCGACAAGCCAGCAAGGACCCAAAATATCTTACTGTGTATGGAGTTTTTTTTTTCCAAAATTGATTTAAATATAAAGTAAATGATATAAATGATTCAAAAATATCAATGAGTTCTTAAAAAATTAATAAACGTGAATTTATTTTTTAAAAACTAGTTACATTGTAAATGTGACTAATTGGGCATAATAATTGTAATTATTTCTTTACAAATTTATAATAGATTTGAAAAGTCGATATTTATTCGTAATTATTATTTTTAATGAATGCGTTTATTTTAAAAACGTATTTCACCACAAAAAGCACCGTGACGTTTAAATGTCAAAACAACGATCGAAAAAAACAGGTAGAAAAGGGGATGGGGCGGTTGGCCCACCCTCTGTCGTTACGGTTAAATCAATCGGTGCCACCATAATGGCTTTCTACGATTTATCTGCCATTTATTATTTCACTTACTTTATATTTAATTGCTTTTGGCAAACTAAAAAAAAACCAAAACACTTCAACGTTGTGTAGTAGTCATACAACAAGGTGAGAAATGTACTTTCAGGAAAAATAAATGATTCACAAAATGTAAAGATACAGAATTAAGTGCGTAATGGTTTAAAAATATCCTGTAATGTGCCCCACCCCCAAAGAAAAAGAGCCTTGGAGAGGGGGGAGAAAAATCCTCGTAAAAGTGGAAAGTTGCACCCTGTTAAAGACAGAAATGCCCCGACCGACCGGACCCTGAATGCAACACCAGCTGTACGATAGCTTATTCTGGAGACAGTACCCTCTTGCAGGCCTTTCAGGGTACTGCAGGTGTACATCAAGATGGACTTTTTTGTTTCAGAGGGAACTTGTAAGTGAATATCGTTTCTTAATTTTACATTGATTTAAGCAGCGTATATCAAACATATGACAGTGAACATAAATAAAATAAAAATAAAATAAAGTACAGAAGTTGCTGAGCCATGCATTGAGATGAGCGATGAACAGAAAATTGTTTGTCATAGCTGTTAACCCAAACTTTACGTTTATACCAATTATTTTATAGGTTTAAGGCAAAATAAGTTTTGTTATGTGTCGCTGTGCAATTTAAAACATTATAGTGTAACAATTTGCCACCACCAAAAGGCACTCGCCATTGCTAGCTTCCATAAGAAATGTGTTGCCAATGTAGCTCTGCAATAGTCTTGGGCCACGATTACTCTGTTATTTTAGTCATACTATAACGACCATTTCTTACTAGAATGTTAATAAGTACCGAGTAGAGCCGCGCCAAGGCCAAAAAAAAAGGTACCATAATTGTGTTTTTACTTTGTTAGCTAGCTAACAGGCTACTTCCTGGTTGTTGGAGTACAAGTTGGGTACAATTCTGATTCAGTGAAGGTGGAAGTTTCACCAAAACATGAGCACTTTGAAAAGGTTATTAAATACAGGAGAGCCATCGGCATCCCACAAATTTGTACAAAGGAAACGACATGAAACGTGGCACTGCTGTGGCGGTTATCACTGCCCGCGTTTTGCTCTCAATAAATGACATGCAATGTGGCGACTGGCTGTTTTGGTGGGAATGGATTTGCATCATCTTGCAGGCCCAAATGAAAGGAATATTACAGCAAAATATACTTTTGAACAGCAACGTAAGCTCTAATTGTCTGGACCAGACCTCCAATAACATGTTTTTATGCTCGTGGACATAAGACATATATAGGTTGGCTAAAGCATACAGTGACTCTTTTGCAAATATGAATTGAAATCATGCACAAGTGCAGCAACTGGCAGGAGCAATTCAGATCGCAAGGTGCATCAATAGTCTAAGATAATGCCTAAAAAAATTTGCAGACACTCAAAAAAGTGTCATTTTATTTGAATTAAATTCAATTAAATTTTTTAAAAGTTTTATTTCACTTCATTTTATCACTCTGAATTATTTTTTGTGCCAACCTGTATTTTTAATTCATTCGATTTTTGAAAAAAAATCGTGCTTAATTTTCAAATTTTTTTTTAGATTAAAAGACAAATTGCGAATCAGACAAAAGGCAACTGTGTGGCACAGGTTGACATAAAAAATATTTATTTTTAGTGTAATAAAATAAAGCAAGAAAAAAAAACAACAAAAACATTCTATCAAAATGAAAATAAGAAGCTTCCAGCATACTGGCCGTTAGTCCCACTCCGTGTGCCCTTCGGCTGTACACAATTACATTATTTACATGACATGGTGTGTTTATAAACCCACGCACACACACTTTTTAAGGGTTGTTTTGGATGAAGTACAGCAGAGAGGTCACATAGTCCATAGACAGGAGCGTGTAAATGTTTTTTTGGGGGGCCCATTTGAAGGGGCGGCAGGGGAGCAGCAGCCAGCCAGCGTGTGATGCTTTTACATTTAAAGGAGATGCAAGTCAAAGCTGCTTTCTGTATGCAATATACGTGGGCTAATAGAAGCAAAGCAACTAGAGGATCATCCACATTAGTGTATAACTTTAAATACCGCTGCTGTTTTTTTTTTTTTTTGTTTAGCATGACAACGCGCAGGCTTGATCGTCTCCGATTGATTGTTTCACATTTTTCCTATTTTCCATTTGTTTCCGATTGCGCTCCTCTACCCCTCTCGCCTTTCTTCTTCTTCGTCTTCCTCAGCGGCGGAAGAAGGCGGGGTTGCGCAGGCAGGCGGCTAGTCACCTGCAGCACCCCAATGGTCCCGCCGAGGTCTCCAGGCTGCTGTCAGTGTCTGAAGCCAGGGTCTGGTCGGTGGACATGGACGAGATGTCGTTGATGGACGAGGACGGAGGGAGGCTCTCGCTGCTGTTCACGGCTGCACCTGCGCTGAGGGAAGCAACGGCGGCGCCGCGGTTATAACGTACCAGAGCGCCCTCGCCGGCGCTGGAACGAATCGTGCAACACAGATAAGGGGAAAAAACACGGGAACCCAATACAAGGTGATTGGACGACAACACATCACAGCGTGGCTATTGGGACTTGGGTCCGGTGGGTTACACAGAAAAAATAAAGATCCAATAGCCCAAAAATGCGAGAGATTGACTACACTCTAAAAATATTTATAAAGTGGTAACTTTTTGTAACAAAATAACGGCGTGGAAAAGGGTCTCACCCAGCTTGTCTGTGAAATTCTAGTTTTTAGTCACTGTCATTACTAACGGATCCACTGCGCAGGGTATGTCATTATTTGGATAATTAACATCAAAAATGTTCCCCATGAGTCTAAATTGATGAATACTGCATTTGTTGGAATATTAATTAAGCAGCCAAATCCACCCGTTTTCATCCATCTCAAGGGGCGGCCATTTTGTCTTGTACTGTCATTTGCTGCTGACTGAAAATGACATCACAGGCCTGCACTAAATGTTTCCCAAGAACCCAAGTCACCATACATACTACAGCACTGTGTTGATAGATATGATATGGAAAGATCTTTTAGTCATACATTATCGTTTAGCATTTCATTGTGTTTTGAAGAAGAGCAAAGAGGAGACAGACGGACACGACAATGGGGTGTGTGAATATCAGGGGGTCCAGTTAGGTTGTATATAAAAGTGACTTACAGAGCGATTAGGCTTATGCACTGAGAGTACCTGAAGGTGAAGGCTGTCCCTTCACTACGCCATTCTTCGTTCTCTCCTCAAAATTCATCACTTCTTTGTAGATCAACTCTGTGGAACACAAGAAGTAATTTTAAAAAATATATATATGTTTTAAATATTGACAGCAGAGTTAAGTGTGCCTGCGTGGGTTTTCTCCGGGTACTCCGGTTTCCTCCCACATTCCAAAAACCTTCTGTGGCAGGTTGATGGAACACTTTAAATTGTCCTGAGGTGTGAGTGTGAGTGTGGATGGTTGTTTGTCTATGTGTGCCCTGTGATTGGCTGGCAACCAGTTCAGGGTGTCCCCCGCCTACTGCCCGAAGACAGATGGGATAGGCTCCAGCACGACCCGCGACCCTTGTGAGGATAAGCGGATCAGAAAATGGATGGATGGATGGATTAAAGATGAGTCCGAATTGGATGGGTGGTGGGATGTGTCTCACCTTTCCATTCATCAATGGAGTGTTCTCTCTCATCGAGCTGCTTGTCATAGATTTGAGGCGGAGGCTGCAAGAAAAAGAAAAGAAAATACGGCATCTTTAGTCATTCTGTGTTGTTAGCAGATCGTAAATAATGCTTTTATAATGCCACGTATTTTCTACTCCAAAGCTAGAGCTCAGTTTCGATGCAAGATTTGCGATTGTTTGCAAAATCACACAAGAAATGTTTTGGGAAGAAAGACAAACAATTTGTATTACATTTTAGGAACAAAATTAGTTTTGTTTTTTTTTCTGTTTTCCCTTTGGTGTGTTTTTGCAAACGAGTCCTTGAAATGGTGCTTCAGTACTTGCTTACATTCTAAACAAACGGCGACAAAACAATCAATGAAACCTTTTTAACGTGTAAAAGATGCACACAAAAACATGCTGGCATAGGAAGTAAATATACATACAAAACTTGATTCACACAACAGAGGAAACAAATCTACTGTATCAATGCTTAATTTTGGAAGAAGATTGAGTTCTCGTGGCTCCTTTCATCTAACTAATAGGATTTCACGCTCTTTTTCCCCCCCACTAAAGTCACGTCCGAGGGTTGCTTTCGACATCCAATCAGCATAGTTTGTCAAGAGAAGGGAGGGATTTGCAGAAGCAGTGGTTGTCATTTACCATGGATATTTGGATGAGATCTCTGGCCTTCATCAGGATGAGGTGACATTAGAGAAGGGGGAAAACAGCAGAACATGTGTTGAACAAGGCCACTCATATTGATAGATAGATAGATAAATACATAGATAGGTAGCTAGCTAGCTAGCTAGCTAGATAGACGGATAGATAGATAGATAGATAGATAGATAGATAGATAGATAGATAGATAGATAGATAGATAGATGAAGTCAGTTAACATCAGAGGCAACCGTCATATATTTGAAAAGGAAAAAAAATAAAATCCCAATTTATTTTTTTCAGGCTTTTTCCCGATCTCGCTGTCACCTCACATGAATGAGGCACTGATGATGAAGAGCATCACAAACAGTACAACATGGCTTCCTAATCAGGAAATTCTCTCCAAGTGCTAGCAAATCAACAAACACTGTTTACAAGTGAGCCTAGACGTCAGAATGTTGAAAGTGGTTGAGATCAAAGCAATTTCCAGTGCATGACAAGTCATACATTTGGACAGATTTTTCTCAAACGAGTCTGTGTTCGACGCAAGGATACATTTGATTTGGGAATCGTATCCAATTACAGATGCTTGATGTCGCTGTGCTGGTTTAAAGTCAAATTTGTGTTGTGCATGTATATCGGCCCATTTGTTTTGTTTTTCTTTAACATTCTGGGATTGTTGTTTTATGCCAGAGGAAGAATAGTCAGCCAATGTTTTTTGTTAAAGTTCTATGAAAAGCAATCATTCAGTTGTATTCAAATTGTTGTTGGTCAAGGTCAGGGAAAGGGTCCTATTGACAGTTATTGGATTCAATAGGCTCGAAATGGCTGAGGTGATATCCCTTTAAAAACGACCGGTACTTATATCACATTTAAAAAAATGAAAGTCTCAACTCAAAGCCTACTCACCGCCTCCACTTCAGCAGGATCGTACCACACATTGATATAGGGATGCTGCAAGGCTTCATCCACTGATATCCGTTTGGCAGGATCGATGATCAGCATCTTTGACAGCAGGTCTCTGGCTTGGCTTGCTGTAATTCGTAGGAAAAGACAATGAAAATTAGAGCGCAGCGTGTTGTTGAACGGACACTTGGACGGAGCACTGACCTTTGAACATGGCCACAATCATGTGGCTAGTTATCAAACTTGGCTGCCTTGCCCCGCTTACACCCAATCGGGAAGGTTGATGATTTAGGCAAATTCTGATCACCCAGCCGTCTTATGTACATTGTTCAAATTTAGTTGCAAATGGCCAAAATGGCCCTGAAATGGCCACTTGAAATCTCAAAATATCTGACTCACTGTGTCTTTGTAGCACACCGGGAAACTACCCTAAAATGGTTGCCTTAATAATAACAATAACTTGCATTTTTCAAGCAACCTAAGGTCGCAGAACTGGAAATATTGTATTTTTTTTTTTTTTCAGTTACGGCCTTCTTCACACCCTCTGATCGTCAAATAACTACACCATCAAGAGGACAAACTGCAAGCGTAGGAGCTTTTTCCCCACTGCTGCCTCTGCATGGAACTGACGGTAAATCTGTAAAATGATGCCTCTTGTTGCTCTCTATTTCATTTCTCCATCCATCCACCAATCCATGCATCCTGTTTCAGTTGGCAGGAAACTCCCCCCACTCTCTCTCTCTTGCTCTTTGGCGTCGCGCATGCTTCCTGTCTGACACTGTTCTCCCTCTTCTAGATTGATGAATATTTTAGAAGGCAGCAGCTTCAATGTCACAGCAGACAACCAGCAGTGTGACACCTCCAAGATGGAACAGGTGTAAGTTCAAGGCACCATGAACTGTGACGTCCGCAAATCTTGTGACACTTCAAGCTGTTTGTTGCCACTCCGATTTGAAATTTACTGTCAAATGATGCATAAAACTGTACATAAGGCAAAGGGGGATGACGTGTTGTGTATTTAATCATGCCACTTCACCTTGCCTTACCAAAGTCTGCTTTGCTAATGCTAACATACAATGCAAAAAGCCATACACAGGCTAATGAAACTAGCATCAATGTTGCAGTGCGCAAACATCAGAAACACATGCAGACAGATTATACTAAAATCATCACAAGTATGTAATTATATATTTTTTGTGTTGATTATAGAATATTTTTTTGCTAGTTTTCTAAATATCCATGCTTTTATAACTATCTTAGCAATTTCGAAATATTTCTGGCATTTTTGCAGGTGAAAAATCTACCTCTGCTCTCTTCTCACCTTTCAGTTTGTTGTGCTCGGAGTCGGCAGGGAAGAGGCAGTCTGGGAAAAGTTTGGGGAAGGTGAGGCCAGCGTACTTGGGCCGGTTCTCCACATAGTTTCTCACAGTGGGCTGCAGCTTCTTCATGAACTCTGGCGACGGTGTACCAAGCTGCTCGATCACCTTGTTCCACTGGTCGATGTCTGGTGCGGAATTAAGGCAAACAAGCATACAACAGACCAGGAGTATTCAAAAACATCACGAGAATGTTCAAAATAATTGTATTGGGAAATCATCCTTCATTTAAAATGTATTTTCTAAACGACTGACATAGTCAAAACCTCATTTGCATGTTTGTTGCAACACACACGAAAATACCGAAGTCCAAAATTAACGGAACTATGGGTACTTCTAATTGACCCGCACACACAAGCACCACTTCTCAAGTTCTCACAATGCCAGAATTTTCCTTCTGAGATGCCGTAATTACATCGTCGTGCTGAGAACGTCAACGCCGTCCACACTAAGTGGGTCACCGCGTTGAGGTGGCCAGATAAGGGTGGGCGAGTGTTGCTGGATGTCGGAAGGATACGGTCCGTCCCAGGGAAGAGCACTGTGCCTGTAATCACCTCTCCAAAGATGCAGCCCACTGACCACATGTCCACTGGGTTCACGCAAAACCACACACACATACACAAACTCGGATTACTGCCTAGTAACCTCTGGAAGAGGTAGCGCGAGGTTTGAGGTGTGAATCACTGCTGGGACTTTCCCATGTGAAGATATTCTTCATTTAAAAATGAGTATTCGTTCGAATGTATTTGCCAGTGAAAATTTTTTTCGAAATTTATGAATGCCTGGTTTTCTGGAATGCCTCATAAGCTACCACGTGTGATTATTTTTTTTCAATTGCTGTGACTCACCTGCTTCACGTGGACACTCACACACTCAATCTCAAACAGGCTTTTGCCATCTTGAGGACACAATTAAAGCTTCCCCTCAGGAGAGGCATCACTCCAGGTAACAACCTCACGACGTCACGCACGTGTTGAAATATTAATACAGAATACAAAATACTCTGTGACTCACTGATTTTTATTTTTTTTGTGTCTATTCTGCAGCTCATCAGAAAGGAAACGAAGCATCACTTGGGTTAGTTTTCCGCCTCAGAAACATATAGAGAACATAAGGTAAGTGTTTCAAAATGTGTGTGCATGCTACGAAAACATTTGAATGAAATTGGATTACATACAAAAACATAAATGAATACAGAAAAAAAGTAAAATTTAGACTACACAATATAGTATAGATACTTTTTAAATTCAAATTTGTTCCTGTCCTTACACAAGTATCACTATGACGAAAAGAAAAAGCACACTTTGAACAAGGATACAGTCCCGCCCGGGGAAAAGGATTTTGTGGCGCACCATTTCTCCCATAATGCACCCCACCGACCATATGTCCACTGCACGCAACGAGGCGAGGGGAATAGAGAGGGGGGGAAAAGCAAAAGGTTAGTGTTAAACCCTGAAGACATCTAGGAGACAAGCAGTCATTAGAAAGCAGCGGCTAATCGGAGTGCTCCGGTAGGCCTCAAACTGTAGTGCTAGTGCATTTGGAAAAAAATTTAAAAAACGAGCAGAAATAGTAAAGCGGAGCATTAGTGGGATTAGAACGTCAGGAAATGTGCACTGAGGCAACCTGCAAGACTCCATCAGCATGACAATGAGTCCAAATGTCGTTTACCCAGCAAGTTAGCGTTCAGTAAGACTTCATCTTGACTACAAGGACAATTATAAATGTTGTTCTCCAGTCACAAGGGCTTTGTTTTGTCCCCCGCTGTTTTAATGAATATATTAAAGATGTCTCGCAAACATACCGCCGTGTTAAATTAAGCCATTCACTGATGAAATCATCTCTGTAATGTGATTTGGAACAAGATTTATTACCTCTCAACAGAAACGTGCTTGGTGCAGCATTTAGTCTTGCCACCTGATGCATTGCTTTGACATCTCGCATTATTGACTTGTAAGGGATGTGAATGTAATTAGTGAACGGATAGGTTATAGTAAATGTATTTATCGCAGTTCACAGACGCTAATTGTTAACGCCTGGGCACTCAGCTCATTCACTGCCATCGACAGATATACAGTATGTCAAACATCAATTTTAACTGGCAGTGAATGATTTAATTACTTAATTTGTGGTTGTTACACTTTGCTGGGTTTTCTAATCATTACTTCGTTCACTGCCATTGACGTCGATATACGTCCAAAATCCATTTCAACTGCCAATTGTAATCTACCACTAGAATTGGGTAAAAAAAAATATGATCCTTACCATTCTCTTTGTAACCCATACCCAAGATAACCTCGGGTGCTCTGTAGTATCTCGTCACTACATAAGGGGTCATCATGAAGCTAGTGCCGGCAGTCCGAGCCAGTCCGAAATCCAGGATCTTGAGAGTGCAGTCTGACTTTACCACTATATTGCTTGGTTTCAGGTCCTACGTGACAGGATTTAAAAAGCGAAACAAAACAATCACCCTTTTCCAGCTAGAGTGAATCCAAAAAAGCCGAACAATGTTGAATTTGGTCAGGATATTAAAAAGTTCTCCTACCCTGTGAATAATTCCCGCCGAGTGAAGATGCTTGATGCCGCACAACATCTGGTAGAGAAGGTAGGACATTCTCTCATGGTCCAGCTCCATCTGGATCACCTGGCACAGGTTGGCGTCCATCAGCTCCATGACTAGGTACCTGGGCAATGTTCAGATTTAGCAATGGAACTGTTCAAGTGGTTGACCTTAAGGGCTCTATTTTCATAGACAGCGCAGCAGCACCGTGGTACAAATGCCGGCGGATTGTTTTGGATATTGATGGCCAAAAAGCAAAACCTGCTATCTGACAGAGGTGTGAAATCCAGATCCAGAAAGTAAACCCTGCGACAGTTTGTCTTTAGCCAAAGGTTTTTCGACTCAACCGGCTGCCTAAGATGACATTAAATTACACCCATTTGCACTGATGACACAGTGGGGGTTGTCTTCTCACCATGCCAAGTGCAAAGCAATAATGAAAACATGGTACATAACGCCATCAGTCCTGACATGGAACAAAAGCGCTGCGATCTTTCTCGGAAATTTGGCAATGACTTTTCATGTACGAAGGTGCACACTGTACTTACACATCTTGGAATTCCTCTAATGATTTTTGCGGCGTGAAGACGTTTAATAAACTGATAATCTGGAAGAGAAAAGAGCTGTGTCAAAGGCGTGTCCAAAAAAATAATAAATGACAATTTGCGACATACAGGACACCCATGACTAAATAGTGGGGGGAAAAATACAAAATGTGTCCATTCATACCTTCTATTAGTGTATTAACAATGGTGCAAAATAAATGTCTCAGAATTTTGCCACTTACAGTTATATGTTGGATTCAAATTAACATTTTTGTTTTGTTCTACAAACGGATATGGTGTGTATGGGGCAAGACCACAATGCAGCGTTATGCGACACAATTTTACTTTCAAAGCACAACCTCCAAAAGAAAAAATGCATAAATCATTTTGCTTACATTTTTGTGATTGACACATTTCATAAGCACCAACTCGCGGTATGCCCTTTTGGCGTGCGTCTGGTTCTGGAACGGTCTGCTGAGCTTCTTGATGGCCACATTTCTGTCGAGGACAGCGTCATAACCCGCACTGTTGACAAAGTAAGAACCAGCAAAACAATAGCATTTAGTCTGACATTCAATGTCAACGGAATGTTTTAACAAAAAAATTAAAATGCTTCTCTGCTAAAACAGGAAGTGGTCATTAATTGCTGAGGGATTGGCTTTGTGTATATTTTTATTTCTTTCTGTCTCTGTGGAGACTTACAAATCCCGCGGGATGATTTGTGACCATGGTAACAGTGTAGCCTCCATGTAAAATACACACACACACACACACACACACACATACACATTGATCCAGAAGGGATTTGAGTGAGGCAGCCATCACTTGGTGAGTCTTTGAGGAAGCTGATGTCATGAGTGGCTCGAGTGCTTCAAGCCTTCATCCTTCTTCATCCTCACAGAGGCATAAGGACGGAGAGATGTGCTCGCATTGCTCACTAAGGTGTTATGTCACCCTGGCGAACGCCCTTGAAATTATTATGGTTACTCCCCTGTTCAATATTAATAGGATGAGGTGTATCACAATTAAGAAAAAAAAAAGATACATGGAAAAACAAGTACAGTGCAGCTACGACGGAGTTATATTGTGGCACACATATTAAATTCAGATGGGGTTTTTTGGGGGGGTGAAATTTCAGAGTAAAGTTGCAAAACATTGTTGAGAAACATGTAAAATGTAATAAAATTAAGGTTCTAATGTAACAAAAAAGTAACAGTTATTATACTAAGGTTATATTAGAAACCCATTGTAATATTACAAAACGAAAGTAGTAATTATTCAATGAATCCTCGGGTACACAAAAAAGTCACATTTGTTGCATCTCAAGAAAATTCCCTAACATTACAAGAAGAATGATTAAAATATGACAATAAAATCAAATGCATTCATATTATGAGAATAAAGATGATTTGAGTCCCATAACAGCCCAGGCCAAACCTACAATGTGGTACTACTTTCCTATTTAGACAGGGTTTTGATGGGCATTTCTGAAAGAGCACAAAAAAAAAACCACACAACTAGGTATGTTTTACAGCAAATAGCTGGGGATTGGTTGTACCGGAATAAAAAGCGCAAACAGATGAATTTGTGAAGAGTGAACTACTAATACACAGGGCGGGATTACTGCACTAGCATGATCAAGCGCAATCACGTTAATGAGACTAAATAAGATTACTTCCATCATGTATCCCATTTGCTTGCATTTGGCAGCCAGATATTAAAGCGGTTTCCAGGGAGGTCGGGCGATTTAGTTCGCTCGGACGCGATAATACTGTCACCATATGACTTGATGACAGACAGCTGCGGACCTGACATGCGTCACTCACAACCTCCAAAATGGCCACAAGCCCAGCCCAAGATTATAATGTAGCGAGTGGCCCGCGACGGTCTGTGGCCGCTTGACGATGCGGGGGTTCATGCTTCCCTTAAAAGCCGAGGCTCGGCAGTTGTGCGTTGAATTACAACGACCGAGCTCATGGACCGCTGCCTTGCTGTTCGATCCCTCTTGGCTCGCGTATTATTCTAAACACGGCGGCGGGGTTTTAGTGCCATGAATTTAAATGCTCCCATGCCTCAACCGTTTTATTCAAACTTAAGCACTGTGCTACGAGCCGCTAGAGTTTTTGTTTTAATGACACTTTGCACAGCAGTTCATTTGATGTCGTACAACAGCGGAGAGCAGGGAAGCTACCATCGCCAATATATGTATGCGGTTGATTTAATGTTACGAGACTAATGTCATACATAATATGACACAAAAAGAAAAACTATTTCTGGTCCAAGTTTAGCCTTGGCGTGGGTTGGAATTATTCGCCTTCTCGTAATTATCATTCCGAATTAGACAAACAGTTTCAGCGTTACAACTGAAGTTGCTGAGAGATGATGCTCGGCGCTCGTGTCCATACCCAAACCAAAATGAATAAAAAAATAATAATAATAATAATAATCCTTACATGCGATTTAGGAGCAAGTGTACCCACGTGGCAGTGTAATTTTGTACACAGTTGAAGTTTAATTAACTGGATTTTTTTTTTTCACTACACACGATTTTGAACTGGTTGTGAACCCATTTTGTTCTTACCTTCAATGACTATGATATTCATTTGTGTCATAAGATACGGCACTATTCCAAAAAGGGAGCAATTAACGGCGAAACGACATCTCCCAAAACAAAATCCCACCGTCATAAAAATGTAAATGAAGATCGTAAAAAAATCGAAGCCAAAACCACCTACCAAACGATTCCCTGAGCTCCGGAGCCGATGGGCTTTAAATTCTGGTAGCGTTTTAAAACGGTGAAGGTGGAGTCTCCCACTTCCACGCTGTAGAACTGGTTGTCCACTTTGCTTTTGCTCATGTTGTAATGCTTGGCGATATATGACACATCCACTTGTTTTCCAAAACCCTGCACGAGGTAAGCAACAAAAAAGGCATTTGGTGTTAGTTTGATGGTCTCGAATACATTGTTGATAAGAATAATTACGAATGATGTAAACAGCAGATTTTTATTTTCCTTTTTTAGAGTCAAGTATTGATATTCATCACACTGTCCAATGAAAAATTTGCATTTCCAATTTTTTTAAATCCAAGAATAAGAAAAATTCCCCTGTTTTTTTTTTTTTATGTATTCTATTGCATAATTTTGTGGGGAAAAAACACACACACAAAAAAAAGATTGCATTTGATGTGATAACATTATTCGAAGGGTTAATGGAACAGAATGAGTACTGTACCTTTTCTTTTTTTACCTGTAAGGGACACACACCTGACAAAAGGCAATCTTCACATCCAGGATCGGTTGGCTGCAGTTGTATAAGAAATGTCTACTCATAAATACCTGCAAGACAAAACAGTGGGAGCAGGACTAATGAATTCACTCGTGCATCGACTGTCCAAAACAACAGCTCAACCTAATCGATAAAACTGAGTTTCAGTTTCTGAAACTTGAGCTCTGCAACTTTACACTGTTCTTTTTGGGCCAGCGAAGTACAGGTGCTGTATTTCAGGGAAAAGAAAAATGCCATTTAGTTTCTGTGACTGCTGTAAGTATGCCACAGTTAAAGCTTTGCCAAGTCCAAAGGGACAAGGGCAGTCTTAAAAATGACATATGGCACATACAGATTTTATATTCGTACATTGGCCTGTTTCGACTGACCTTGTTCCCTTCTTATAGCCTTATAGCCGAGACACTACCTTTCTTTCCCGCGCAAACTACAAAATTGCCGCATGGGAGCCATGACAGGATATATAGACCATCCAGCATTGATCTGACTTTGCCAGTTGCTTTCAGCACAACAGGGAGAGCGCAATGAGTTGCGTCTTTAAACTGACAGCCCGGTCCCGGTTTTTACGCTTCTGATACTACAGATCAAGATGTCAAGTTTCCAGGTCAATGTCATACCCTCCATTCCGTGGGGGGGTTGACAAAACAGCGAATGGCAAAAAGCTGGACCAACGCCGACCAGCTCTTACGTCATCGACTAATCCGTATCTGTGCTACGTTAATCTTGAGCCATCTGTGTGTATATTTGAGTTATTAAAGCTCTCCCAGGGCGCAGAGTGTTTGCCTTCGAGCAAAGTGATGAGGACCGTGTACTCGCTAGCTCAACTCTCTGGCCAGATTGGGTCTCAAGTGCTGCTTCGGTTTGATCAAAGACGACACTTGGCGTTGTATCATCAAGTGGAAATACATCACCCTGAGTGCAGTATGACTCGCTGCCAGTGGCTTGAGAGCTTTCATAAGCGAGGGGGGGGGGGGATAGCTCAGCTTTCCGTTTTTCTACTTTTGTCCAGGTGGGGTGCAGACAAGGTCCAGATATTGACTTGAAAATCAAAGCGGGGGCTGTGTTTTGTTTTTTTTTCCAGTCAGATGAAATCATCAAAAATAAGCTGCAACTATGGCTCAGTGTACTGCGAGAAACTATTGAGGGGTGCATCCATTGATCTTTAAGCGACCTTTCATGCTGTGTGTCTGTAGTGACGCTTGTTGCTTCATTTTGCATCATCTTTGTCCAGGCGATGTGCCGGCCGATTAATTTAAAAGACCATTTTCAGGCTAACCAGCCCAATAATTTGATTTTCTCCGACACCGCGAACGTGCTGAGTGTCATCCAAATAGGCCGGCGTCAATAATGACTGTGCCATGCGTCTCCTAAAAAGAACGTCAATAAGAATCCGCTAATGGAGACGTGCTCTGCTTTGGACACACACACACACACACACACTTCTGACTCAGCACAGTACCATCAAGCTGCATATACGACAGCCACTCGTTTATGGTTGGCGTTCATTTGGGGATGATTAACCCGCAATGGTGTTAAAATGTAGCTGTTATTGTTCTCCCTGGCACATCCTTTGTACTTTTGAGTCTCGTCAGAAATGTCGCCACTCATCCTCAACCATCTCTTTTGTCCCTCCCCTCGCTCCCAGGCTCCCGGCCAGGATGCAAACGCCTACATTACCCTTCCCCCCTCCTCCTCCTCGATTCCCTCAACCCACCCTTCAAAGCTCCATTGTGAGTGCTGGCTTCGGCAGCTTCTCCCGCAGTAACGCAGAAAGAGCAAGCAGTTAGGGGAGGGGGAGGCACCCTCCGAATATAAGTCTGGGAAACAAAACAGCACTGACTCATGCACAGGAGTCTCAAACGCTCCCCGACAGCTGATTGATTTCATCAGCGATGAAATACATATTCTTATCTCCTCTGGCCAATGTGTATTTGCGTTTGTTCAAACTGTGCTGATATTGCAATAAGGGAATTTAATCCGTATGGCACCAGCGTGTAAAAGAGGTTTGTGCTGTCTGATGCGGTGTCCTTTTTTGGGGGTGCTTTTTGTAAAAGCATGTTCAAGAACAGAATTTGACGAATCTTGTCAACTCACCTTTTTTGTACCGAAACTAACACCTCACAATGGCCCTTAAGGGACAGTGACAGTAAATTAGCATTGGCAGCTAAAAAACGTCAATTCCCCACAAAGTTACCCCTGGTTAGTAATGATAATTAATTACCAATACTGGTAATAAATAACAGCGGTAATTACCGCCTGACAAATACTGTCCAGATACTTTAACTACTGGTACTGATCATTTACAATACTGACAATTAGAGGATGGCCCATTTAGCTATCTGCATTCGTCAATATAACTCATTCCTAGTATTTATGCTCCATGTTTTGTCTGCCCAGCATAAAAAATAAAAATAAAATAAAAACTAATCACCTCAACACAAGCACGATTAGAAAACAAATTAATGTGCCGTCTTTAGACTCTGGGCCCTAAAGCATACAGATGTGTCGCAGGTTTAAATCTCGCACTAAAAGCTGCTATGCCCAAGCGAAATAAAGCCACATGTTAGCAAAATTCAATCCACTTATGTAACCGCGCACTCGTGCAGCCATGCTTATCTGATTGTTTGGAGTAATCCACAGTAAGATTGAAACGTCGCTGTGTTGTAGATAGACGGGGGGCCCACCTCAAGAGTGGTAAACTTTAATGGAGATGATAATGAAGCCGCCCCCCCATATAAACAAACATACCATCAAATCGAATAATGAAAAACTCATTTCGGATTTGTATGCAAAAGTCAGAGGTGTTGGGTCTTATCTCCAAATAGGAATAAAGTCTCCTCCATCCTGGAAGTCTACGAGAGAGTGGTACAAATGAGGTGTTTAACAATGCCGGCGCACCATGGGTGCGCGGGTAAATGGAAGCATTTAAAATGGAGTTAATTGAGTATTGCTCATATCGTGCGATAAAACATTTTGAGAAAACGTATTGAGTCCAAGTGAATCCATGTTGCATCTTGATGTCTGATCTAAGGGATACAAACAGCCACCGTAGTGCAATTCAAGTGGATACTGTCAGTACTCCCCTGAAATACTGAATTTTAAAACTGATTTGCCATAGACAATGAAAACCAAAATGTTCCTTGAGTCAAACTGTAGCCGTCATAAAACGTGTAATTGTACAGGCAATGCTTTCAAAGGCACATACCAGTAGTGACTGTTTCATGTCTTGCATACATCCATTGTGAGTAAATCTTTCGGTATCTGCCTGGTTCTGAAAATGACAGCTCAAGTGACGTGACCACCCCACACACCATTTCTCAGCCAATAACTTGCAAGCTAGGCTGACCGAAGTACCGGAGCAATAGAATCTCTTTGAAGCAACTGATTAAGCACTGTCATGTTAAAAACCAAAGGTAAGCAGAGCTGCAGTGTTGGCACAGATCAGTGTTAGCTAACAGTCTAACCAGCAGTATTTTCTGATAACAATGCTATTGTAATGTTCAGGTGATTTGTTAACATAGGCGGGCAGTATGATGACTGCATCGACATAACTAACTGCATCACTCTTTCCAGTGCCAAGTCTCCATGAGCAAGCATGCAAAGCAATCAATACGGTGACGCGTAAACATTTTTCAAATACAATGTTTTTTTCTTCATTCAGTAAACCCGCCGACCAATTTACCCCTCATACATCATTGTCGTATAAACGCTTACATAGAATGGTCATAAGCTTGGTTTACTGGGGAAGAGCGTGTTCCCTGCAGCACTTTCACATGAAGCATGAAAGCACGCTCCTGAATTATTCAACAACACAAGGTCAAAGCCATGGAATCCTCTCTAGCGCTCTCTGTGGCTCTTTATCTGTGTTTTTAAACACGGAGAATTTGTTGTGACACCCCAAAAACATCAGCCTGACTCACAGAAACACAACGATAATCGCCCCTGTGCCGGCATGCCCGCAATGATACTGCACATGGAGGCACCCCTAATGTATTGTATTGTACTCATGTAATCACGATTAAAGGTGGGCGTACAGTAGGGGCGCAAATTACGAAATGACGATCCGTTATATTTTTGGAGATCAGATAGTGATGATGTCGATGTTTGATGCTTCTGTATTGCTACTGTACCATAAGAGAAAACGATGCAATACATGGCACCTTTTCAAATAAGACGTATATTGATAACAGATGTGTTATTTTGTGTAGAAAGTCATCTCAAACGGAATATGTAAACATAAATACAGTACAAGGGTGCCTTCAGATTCGAGTTTAAATTGTTCAATATTAGTTGCTCAATGCAGAGGATAAAATATATGATGGTAATACTGTCATATTGTCTGTCTATATGTGTTGTGGCACTCTTTGTGTTCAGTCCATTGCTTGCAATGTTTAAAGCACAGCAACGCAGGTGCTATTTAGCATTAAGTCTACCGGGTTGAAAGGCTAAACTATGCAGTTGTTTTAAATACGCAGAGAACATTGAAGTACGCCGTGATATGACCATTTGTCTGGCCTATTGAGATTCACATCACAAAAATTATCATAGTACAAAAGGATATTTTGTCTTGCCCCTGGTTGACAATAAAAAAAAAATACGAATAAAATATTGAGATTCACATCATATTTGAAGGTCAAACGGGCCAATCACTCATATTTACTGCCTGCATATCGATGCTGTTAGAATGTGAAAGTGGGTTGGATATGACTTTTCTATACCCGGTGACCTAAAACAACACACATATAAAATACACACCACCGTATGCATGCAATGTTGCCCACTTTACGTGTACCCACTTCTAGTGGGATCTGGGACAGCCCTCCTGCCCTGCTGAGGTCCACTGATATTCTGCATAATGCACAAGGTATGCAGCTGACTTGTGTGTGAGAGAGAGACAGCGAGGGGGTGGGTGGAGTGGGGGACGAACTCTGCATGCGGGCCTACGCAGAATGGTGCTCCTGTTTTGTTGAGATTCATCCATCCATCCATCTAACCATCCATCCATCCACCCATCCATTTATCTAGCGGCCATTTGCATGGCTGCATCAAAAATGCAAGACAATTAGCCCGAGAGGAGAAAATATGGCGTTTCATATTGATTTTTGTTGTGACGTGATGGGATCAAATAGCACGCAGTAACCCATTCCAACAACCTTATTTTGCCTATGCAGGGCGGACGGGCAACATTGAGAAGAACTCAATGCTCTTGTGTTAAAAGAAAGAAAGAAAAAAAATCTTTGGCTGATTTGCAGAGAGATTGATAGAATTTGCATTCAACGGTCCTACTTACCATTCCGTGCCAGCTGATGACAAACCTAGTCCAGTTCAAAACATCCTAATGGGAAGCATTGCGGTCATCATGGCTGCAGGGATCCCGAAAATGGGAGACGGAAGTTGCTTTAAAAAAATCAATATATATGCCAAATTAATACAATGATTAAAAAAAAAAAAAAAAAAAGCAGAAATCAAGACGCAAAGATTAGCTGATGCTGATTCACTCTTCCCCAGCTCACCGACACCTTGCAACCATTGTGCTGCAAGATGCTGGCTGTACCATTGTGCACCGGGAGGGTAGGGAAGGAGGGAGAGAAGGAGGGATGAAGGGATGGAGGGAGGGAGAGGGGAGCGGTTGCCATGGCAACCCGAGAGGAGCTCACGTGACGTCAAAGCCGAGCAGGAGAGGGAGAATGGGAGGGAGGCGCACAGCTAGCCTGCTACCATTCACTTACAATGAAGAGTCTATCTATCTATCTATCTATAATATATCATCATTGTTCCGTGAAACGCATGTATGTTTGTTTGTTTCTTTGTATCTATTACACAAAGAAAATAAGTTTTTGCTGCATTTTTGGATGGAAAAAAAAGACCATTACTGTGAACTTAAGCCTTACAGAGGCCACATCAGTTAAAATCCATCCTATACATCAACTTCACAGATACCGGGAGTTGTGACATGCCACTTTATAAATCAGCTTTACAGATGCCATAATCTGCATGCTTTGATGCATGTTTTTGTTTTGTTTTTTAAAGCAGACATGATTAGCTTTCTACACTGCTTGCCCGCTTCTCACACGCAACTCACAAAGCTGACCTGGACAAACTGTTTGATTGGCTGATGAGTATCACTTGGAAAGAGTTACAATAAATGCCTGTGTAATTCCTGTTTGCTGACAATTCCCAACTGCACTGACTAGAAAATGCGAGCAAGTTTAAATAAGGCTCAAGACCCGAGTCCACATATTGAGGAACCTTGTCCAAGACGATCGACTGCAAGAATCCAGTCAGATTATATCTTCATCAGAATGTGCTGTATTAGCAACTGCGCTGTCTGGCTCCAGACTTCTCTGCAGTGAGGTAAGCTGCTTACAAAAAGTAGTTAAAAGCAGTGCTTGCCTCACGCTGGTGGTCGCTATGCATAAATGATGTGTGGATGTGCCGTCCAGGTTATAGCAAAGCTTTAAATGGGGAGTAAAGTCAAAATGGCCGCCCCTTAAAGTGGATTAAGACAGGTGGCTTTACATTAACTAAATCATGCATCGGTTTGATTTGTATTTTTCAAAGAAATGTGTAAAATATGCTTGAAGCTAAAACATGCTTGAATTTGCACCATGGTTCAGATGTTAACTAAGCACTCTTGGGCTTCGTACAGCTCCACAAGCTGCTCCACCATTTCTGTAGTCCACCTTTGACCATAGGATCATATTTTAGAATAAGCCTATGAAACAAAGTAATCTATGTTTTTTGCTCTGGGTCGCGAAGGGGCAAACTCGGGGCAAACTCGGGACAAAAACCAGTCGATGAAGTGTGTACCAAGCCTTATAAGTGTTAATATACCATTTTTGTTTTATTCGTGACAGGGTGGAATGAGGTCTCCTGACCGCTAGATGGCGACAAAACACAAACAAAACATAACATGCAGTGACAAAGTGGCGACACAAGCGAGGAAGGAAGTATTCGGCTTTCAATCGTTTCCTTATTGCTTAGCTCAGTTCCTTTGAAATGGGAGGCATTAAAAACGGAAGTTGTTGAGTGGAAAAAAAATACAGTAAAATGCCAATTGTAAAAATGTGACATATGTGATTTGCTCACGTTTAATGTTACTATTTGTTCCTCACCGCCAGTGTGTGTGTGTGTGTGTGTGTGTGTGTGTGTGAGGGAGAGAGAGAGAGAGAGAGAGAGAGAGAGAGAGAGAGAGAGATTCTCCATATCTCTCT